GCATCATAGACACTTATCGAACGGAGTAACCCTGTCTACTCACATGGACTATATACATGCTTGTAGTAAGGAGTAAAGCTTCGGTTCCATTCTTGTTTTATCGGATATTTTTTCGAAGTGAATTGTTTAAGAATCGTTGGTTGGGCCTTTGGTTCAACATATTTTTACTCCTCTAGTATCTCACAATGACATTGCGATCGTATATAAATTGTTACAGTTTGCAGCCCTTTTATGTTATGTTATGTTATGTTATGTTATGTTATATGTTATTTTACAGTTAGACCTGAGTAGTTAATCTGCATCAAAGACCCTTAATGAACTGATTAGCTATGCCTATTCTTAAGAACTAACTACATAACTGAACTCAGGGGTAAATCTTAGGCAAAGATCTTTTCTATGTTCTGTAATCTTGATTTGAAATAAACAAATAAACATTGGGTTGGGATGAAGTGCTCCCATACAGGTCACTCTTTGCCCCATAAACTCACAGAATGGATTGGTTGCCATGATAACCATGAGTCTAAACTCCCTTACCTGACTAAGGACCCCTTTGAGGGTATTGTGACCTGCAGCTCTGAGGAGGATTTAGGACCTCCCGCAAGGTATTAAGATCTGCAGCCTTGGAAAGGAGTAAGGATCTCTTTTTGGGTATTGTAACCGGCAGCCCCCAAAAGGGAACTCCTGCAGGGTATTGTGATCTGCAGCCCTCAAGAGGAGTATATATAGGACCCCTTTTAGGGGATCGTGACCTGCTCCCCTAGAGAGAAAAGGGAGTTTTAGCAATGACGACGGCGACGTCGAGGACGACGGCTTGTAAAATAGTATTTACATTTTACCCTCGAATGTCGCAACTGTGTAGGTCTGTTCTCAGTACAGACCTACTGTAGGTCAGTACGGTTATCGGTCTAAAAACTTGCTCATTCTAAAGATGCAATGACAGAGTTCAATTTAAAAGGACAAAGACACGAAGACACGAAAAATTCGCCATTGCGGTACACGTTCTCTAACGTTTCACGTTGTTGTTTTGCAGAGGACGGCAAAGAAATGTACAAAGATTAAAAACGCACGTGCAGAACCATTGCGTTGCTCATTTCACTCAGTAAACCTNGTTATGTTATGTTATGTTATGTTATGTTATGTTATGTTATGTTATATGTTATTTTACAGTTAGACCTGAGCAGTTAATCTGCATCAAAGACCCTTAATGAACTGATTAGCTATGCCTATTCTTAAGAACTAACTACACAACTGAACTCAGGGGTAAATCTTTGCCCCATAAACTCACAGAATGGATTGGTTGCCATGATAACCATGAGTCTAAACTCCCTTACCTGACTGAGGACCCCTTTGAGGGTATTGTGACCTGCAGCTCTGAGGAGGATTTAGGACCTTCCGCAGGGTATTAAGATCTGCAGCCGTGGAAAGGAGTAAGGACCTCTTTTTGGGTATTGCGACCGCAGCCCCTAGTAAGAGTAAGGAACTCGTGCAGGGTATTGTGATCTGCAGCCCTCAAGAGGAGTAGGACCTCTTTTAGGGGATCGTGACCTGCACCCCTAGAGAGAAAAGGGAGTTTTAGCAATGACGACGGCGACGTGGAGGACGACGGCTTGTAAAATAGTATTTACATTTTACCCTCGAATGTCGCAACTGTGTAGGTCTGTTCTCAGTACAGACCTACTGTAGGTCAGTACGGTTATCGGTCTAAAAACTTGCTCATTCTAAAGATGCAATGACAGAGTTCAATTTAAAAGGACAAAGACACGAAGACACGAAAAATTCGCCATTGCGGTACACGTTCTCTAACGTTTCACGTTGTTGTTTTGCAGAGGACGGCAAAGAAATGTACAAAGATTAAAAACGCACGTGCAGAACCATTGCGTTGCTCATTTCACTCAGTAAACCTTTTGTTTGGTGACGTTCT